TGAACTATTAAGAAAGTATTACTATTCTTACTTTAAATTTCTTATTCATTAATTGGTTTTCGTTTAAGACGGTATATGTGTATATGGTGGATAATTAGTGAATCATATGTATTTCTTTTCAGTTGTTGGCAAAGGATATAGGAATCAGAATATAATATGACATTTATTTTATGTGTAATAATAATGTCAGACATTGTAATAATAATATGTATAAATACTTTTTTTGTTACATGTTATATAATGATGTGGTCATTATTTTAAGGATATTAATTTTTTTTTTGTTTGTAATAATATGAATACATGTTACATGTCTCACTTTATATATTACGGTGACCTAAAATTGGCCTATAATATCACTCTATTTGAGTTTTGAAGTTAGGAGCACAACAAGCAATATGTGAAGTTAAATGCAATACATATTTATGTATAGTGATTATATAAATTAATTACAAGTTATTGCACTTCTATTGTAGATTAGTTTTTTTTTTTTTTTTTACTATTTATACATTAGTTAAGTATTTATTTTTACTAAAGCATAACTCCCGTTTATTTATTTTATGTATACATGCAATTAAATGACAAACTAGTGTGGACCATACAGAGGGATTTTTTGCACACTTTTGCTTTAAAATATAGTAGTGGAAGGGAAAGGGATTGAACATATATATACAGATATGTAGTAAAACCAACGAGAAACATCCAAAAAAAGAAAAAGAAAAAGAAAACCAATGAGAATAAATAAAAGTTGTTATCGACTGGTAAGTAATAATAATGCTATTGTCCGCTAGTAATCATCTTAATTTCACTGTTTTTGATGAACACTGAATTGGTCTATAAGCAAAGTCGTCATTATTTATTTTGCTATTTTATCCACAGAAAGCAAGAAAACAAAAAATAAAAAATAAAAATAAAACTTTTGCCCATGAATTCCATCTGTCAGGTTTTCTTGTCTAACCAATGCAACTAGGACACGTGCATTCGCATAATGATGTTCATAATTGGTTGGGTACCCACAAAATTGAAACGTTGTATAACGATCGCGGCCACAATTCTTTAACTATCAATCACACACTCTCTCTCTCTCTCTCTCTCTCTAAATTTTCATACTAAATTCACTCTTTTCTTGGTAAAAAGTCAATTCACTAACTTAAAGCATGAACATTATTGATTATTTTTTACCCAAAAAATGAGCAATATTACTTATAAATTACTTTCTTACGTAGTAATGACAATGAGAAGAGAAGTTGAATGGTTCTTGTGTTTGTCATCAAGGAACCAAACTTTAAAGACACGTAATTATCTTCCTCAATCACAAATATAATATTACTAAAAGATAAATGTTCACATAAATAAAACTTACAATAGTAATACGGTTATATATAAATACACACAAACACACACATGTAAAGTAATAGTAACGGCAAAGATCTTGAAGGACAAAAAATAGAGAGGAAGATTTTTCCTCAAGGCACTTATCACGGCGTGACACAAAGGCCCCAAGGCCCACAAAATGACGGTGCTCCAACATACCAACCAAATTCAGCTAATTTCTGCCAAAAACTTAGCGTACAAATCAGAATTGCTATGAACTCCAGCACATGTAAAACCAGGCTGCTCCGGCCCCACTAATCATAACCTTATTTGATGATCCTAACGGAAAAAGATATTGAACAGAAAGAAAGAGATGTGCTTGACTTTGAAAGAGGGAGAACTATAATGTACGACTAACTTCTATTAACGGTAGTTCACATAGTGTATGTTTGAGTAATTATTACGGTTAGTGCATTAAATATAATTAAAATTACATTAATAATGAAAAAGAAGCCGTTTGAAATGTGGGTTTTTCAATCCAAGTAATTTGAATTAGAATTCAAATTTTTAAAATTTTTGTGAGATAAGACATTATAACAAAATTCTTTAAATTCATTTTTTTTATAGAAAAAAAAATCAGTGTGACTTAACTACCATTTGTATTAATTAACATTTTCGTTAGACATGCTCATATAGCCGAGGGGGACATAAGTACATCTAACTACTTTAGTCACATTGGTTTTGAGGTATATTTCTTAATTAGACTCTCATTAAACAAATATATTCTTAATTAGACTACAAGTTGCATAATTGTGAGTTCTGTCGGTGTGCTTCAGTTTTAACATTAGAATGAACTGGAAAAGAAAACAAATTTGAATCTTACTTAAGAATTTAACCATTGTTTTGCTTTTTTTTTTAGTTCAAGTGTCATGTTTATTTAATAGGGGAACTAATTAGAGAGGTACTTGACCAATTACGCAAAAGTCAGTGGATAGATTTGATTGCCGTTTGCTAATGCAAATGCCACTTGGACTCAAAAGATCACACAACGAAAATAAAACTATCACAATCTTAAGATACTACGAAAATAAAACTTCACCATACAAAAAGGAAAAAAAAAAGCACTAGGCATGAAATGACCACATTTACCTTTCCAAATACGAGTGTGTTTTTTTGTTTTTTGTTTTTTGTTTTTTTCTCTTTTTTAAAAACCTTTATTCGATTCATCAGTTGTTTTAATCCACACTGTTAGTCATGGCCTCGTAGGATAAAATAACTTAATAAACTCTTACCCAAGTGAAAATAGAAAGAGAAAATGATTATACACGGAATAAGAAGAGAAAAAAAAATATATTCAATGAAGGTTCCCGATGAGCATTTTAAACTCCCAAGCCAAATCCAATCTAAGAACTAATGACATATTTATTTATTCATAATCGGAGTGGATATGAATTGGAGTGGACAAAATTCGGAGTAGACATGAATAAGAGTCAAAATAAATTGTTTACTTAGGTTTTAAGAATCGGAGTCAGAATCAATCACAATCTCATTTATGCGTTTACTTAAACACATAATCGGAATAAACTGTTATAAATTTACTTATCTATCTTTTTAGTAGATTTTTGTATGTTGAACTTAAAAAATTATATATTATGCTAACTATCTTAATATTAGGATAACTAATTAGTAATTCAATTTTTTAATCACGCCTAGATTTTTTTAATTAGTAATTAGAAATTATAATGGTCTGGATCTCCACGAATCCTTGAAATGATGTTGTGCAATCAAGGGGCAAAACATGGTTTGATTACAGATTCAACAAAAAAACACAAAAAAATAAAAATAAAAATAAAAACTTACGATTCAATTAAAAAGAACCACAGTGATTTATGTTATTGACTTATCTCGAAGAGAATAATGATGCTTTTTGTTGTTGTGGATGCAATTTTGTGTTTTGAGGAGAAGAAAATATCAGAGGAAGTGAGCAAGGAGATACGAGAGGTGTGAAAGTAAATTAGGACATTTTTTATTTTTTACTTTTTACTTTTATATTCCCAAATTTGTTAGTAGAATTAAGGGTAAAATTATAATTCACATTTATTATCAGGATTGAGAGTGCCAATCCGGTGGGGAGTGGGAGGAGTGCCAATCTCATTTCTCAGCCCCAAATTGGTGTGGGACCCACACATCAGATAAAAATGGATAAGTAAACATGGGGTTAATTATGATTCTCAATTCTCATCCTCACTCCTGGTAAGTAAACATGCCATAATAGATGAGAATTGATATCGACTATCGTAAAACAAACAACATTGTAACAAATATAATGACATCGTGGCACCCAGATCAACCACCTTACAATGAAAAATCACATGCGGAGAAAGGGACCTACAATGTGGGACTATATCGAAGCTGAAGATCTGTTTGGTAGCGGGAGGCCCCTATGTGGAATACATACATGTTAATAGGTAGGGTTTGTGTCTACCTGTTTTATTAATCATTCACAAAATATTAACTCAAACCCGGCTCATTTATTAAATGTATTAAAATGTCGATCTAAACACAATTTATTTATTAATCTTATTTTAAACGTAATTTATTTAACACTATCATAACATGTTCAACATGTTTATTAATTTTTTTTTTAGAAAAACAAGTAAAGTTTCACTATAACAAGTTATTTGTATTTATTAAATCATAAAAACTTTTATACTACATCATGTATAATTAGGTTGCAAACCCAATTCGTTTATTAATTTTCTCAACTCCATTTTGACATAAACCTATTTATACAGCTCCCTTGACATAGAGTCACATAGTTTTTACTTTTGCTTTTAGTAAGTAGAAAAAGAGAAGTAAAAGAAGTGTTTGGAATAAAAGAGTTTTATAGGTCAAAATAATTTTTAAATTTTCTAATAAGCAGTAAAAATATTGTAATAAAGTTTATAATGTCTTATTAAAACTTTAGCATAAGTTTTAAAGTATATTCAAAAGTACTTCTTTAAAAGCCACACTTTTTATTTCTGAAAAATTGAAGTGTTTCTAACAGATCATTCAAACACTTTTAAAAGCAGCTTTTGAAGTCAAAAAAGCAAAAAATAACTTTTAGGAAATATTCTCAAACAGACCATAGTACAAAGATGATATTCATCTAGCGAAACTCATAAAATGGTGAATCCCACTAAATTGGTATATTCAACACCAATTTAACATACGTTACATAACAATTAGTAAAATGAGACGTATTGTAATAGTTACTAAATTAGGGGTTGTATTATTAAAATTTAAAATTTAAGGGGTAAGTTGTCAAAATTTTAAGAATTTATGTAAAAAAAAACACTAATTTTTTATTTTTTAAAAAGATAATTGACACGAAGGGATCTTAACCTCTTCAATATGTTACAATTTAATCTCTATTCTATTAATATTAGTAAAATGATCCTCACCCCAATAAATTTATACAATTAAGTCCTTTCCGTCTATTCTTTTAATTTGTGCAATTAGTCTTTTCATCATTTTACTCTTTTAATTTTGTCATTTTGCTTTTGTTTTATTTTCTTTGGGTTTTTTAGTCATTTTTGTAATTAAAATTAACGTTAATCAAAGTATATACTTGCTTATTAAATAGTAAATACAATCGGATGGTTTCTTTATGCAGTAATTAAAATCCAGAAATACTCTTTTTATTTTAAAAGTGGGTAAAATACGTAAAAGCATCTGAAAAAAGGGCCGGAACCTTCCTACAAATCCAGTCTCTTAAGCGGGATTAATAATCTACTAATTACAAACTGCCTATTTAATCTCTCCCATTCATCCCTGTTTCTTCCCACAACGCACTCACTCGCTCTCTCTTCTCTCCTCTCTCTCATTTCATTTCGGGTGTGCGCACGTTAAGCAGCGACTGAGTGCGCACGTTAAGTAGGGACTGAGTGCGCACGTTAAGCAGCGACTGAGTGCGCACGTTAAGCAATAATGTCTCGTAAAGCCGTGTTGTTCATAGGACTTCTCTGCGCCGCCGTGGCCGCAGTCTCCGCCCAAGCTCCGGCGACCTCTCCGTCCACCACTCCAGTTCCTCCCACCCAAACCACTCCCACCGCCTCTCCGCCGGCCAACTCCCAGCCCCCGCCCGCTCCCGTCGCAACCCCACCGGCCT